GCGTGTATTGCCTGCATGTAGGTAAGTGCACCCATGCCGTACAATGCCGGCGGAGGACAGAAGAGGCCGTCAGATCCTCTAGGACTGGAATTATGGACAGTTGTTAGCTGCCATGTTGGTGCTGGGATTTGAACCCGGGTCTTCTACAAGAACAACCGTGTTCTTAACTGCTGAGCCATCTCTCTAGCCCCTTCCTCTTCCCTTCCCTCCCCTCCCCTCCCCTCCCCTCTTCTCTTTTTTGGGGGGGCTTTTTGAGACAGTCTCCCTGTAGCCTCAGATGGCCTGGAACTCACTATGTAGACCAGACTGTCCTCAATTTCATAGAAGTATGCCTGCCTCTGGCTCTTGAATGTTGGGATTAAAGGTGTGTTTTCATCATAGAGTTATTTCACCTCCTTGGTTAGGTTTATTTTAGGTATTTTATTTTGTAAACCAGGCTGACCTCAGAGATGCCTGGCTCTGCTTCCCCAGTGTTGCCACCATACCCTGCTTTTCAAATTTGTTTCTTAGAGAGGTAGAGTAAGTCAGAAGAGTGATGTGAACAGACTTTGATTTTAATATCACACTGTCTAGTTATCATAGGAGTAGATAGTGGGATAGAAAACAAAGTGGTGACTGCTGGGAAATTGAAAACCATGAAGTTCTTGATATGTACTTTTCTGTTTGTTTGGAGAAAGGGTTTCACTATCTAACTGGCCTGGAACTCATTATGTAGACCATCCTAGGCTGGCCTGGATCTCCCAGATTGTTATTATATTGTGTGTGCCACCTCAAGCTTGATATGTTCTTACCGTTTATTTTTTGCCTGCATGTATGTAAGTGCACCAGTCTCATGACCACAGAGGCCAGAAGAGGCTGTCAGATCCCCTAAAAACTAGAACTACATACAGTTGAGAATCACCATGTGGGTGTTGGGAACAGAAACCAGGTCCCCTGCAAGACCTGCTCCTGTTCTTAATCACCTAGCCTTCTTTTCAGCCCCCTGCTTTCTGTTTTTAAAGGTGAAGCACTTTATTCTGTCGACATGCCTTTTAGTTTGCCACTCCCCAGTGATGTATTTCTCCAGGTTTCCTCTTACTTTAAAACTGTATTGATTTAAAAAAAAAGTCTTACTAGTGTGTAAGCATTTGTCAAGTTATTTCTTTAGAATGAATTCCTACAAAGTAGACTTTTACATGTATTTTTTTTTTGTTTTGTTTTTGCAACAAGGTCTTACTATGTTTCCCTGGCTCTACCTCTTGAGTGATGGGATTGCAGGTGTGTGCCACTGTTTCTGGCTTCTAATACTTTGGTTTCTCATATCCAGAACAGTATTATGAAAGAATAGACCGATTTTCTTCCACCAGCAGTAAATGAGTGTGGGCAATTTTTAAAGTAGAGTTTTACTGTTGATTTTGTTCCTCTGTGTGTTTTTGTCAATATCTGTCTCTGTGATCAAACCCAGGCCATCCTTTGGAATTTGCGCTGTGCAAGAATTCTATCACTGATCTATACCCCCAAGCTAATACATAGTTCTGAAATCAAGGGTATGTTTAACTTTAAGCACATCTTAAACCCCAGGGTCATTTCTGGTATTTAAAAAACGAGGGAAGGTCAGGCATGGTGGCATGCCTTTAATCCCAACACTTGGATGACAGAGGCCACAGGATCTCTGGCTTGCAGGCCAGCCAGCCTGATCTATATAGCAAGTTCCAGCACAGGCAGGGCTGTAAAGTGAGGCCTTCTCTCAAAATCAAGCCAACAAAAGACCTTGCAGCTTAATTTGAACTTATGTCTTTTTCTAGGTTACAGTTCCTCTCAGTCATCTCATCAATGCCTTCCACACACCAAAAAACCTATCTGTCTCTGTCAGTACGTCTGTTTCTCAGAACCACCATCGAGATACAGTTCCTGAGCATGAAGCCCCCAGCAACGAGGTAACAGCTATCTGAGCTATGTGAGAAAGCCTTTGATACAAGAAATTTTAACCATATTTATTGAAGCCTTTGATGCAGGAAATTTTAACCATATTTATCGAACTAATCAAGTAGGCACACCAATGTGCTTTTAACCTTCAGTTTAATCTTTGTAATTAATGATAACTAATTCTGGCTTTCATTGCACGTATTAAAAATTACACTTGTTTATTTGGTCATTGTTTTGGAATATTTATGATATATTTGCTACATACCTTCCACATTACTACTTGCTTATACTAATCAGATATTTTTTAAAATAAAATTTAAATTCTTTGATAGTCATGCATGTTTATTACGTATTTTGGTAATTTTCATCCCATTCCCTCTGAACAGCGTCTTCCCAGCAAGTCCTCCGTAATTTCATGTCTTTTTGTTTTTCTTTATTGTTGTTTGTTAGTGTCCTACTGAGTTTGATTAAGATTGCTTTCATGAACATGAGTAGTGGGTTATTTAGTGGGGCACTCGCAGTTTCCTAGTAGCTATGACACTGAGGGAAATGATTTCCCCTCTTCTACAGCAACCCATTAGCTGTCAATACTTCCTCATGGAGGAGTGGACTGAGTACTGACAGTAATTACCTCAAATCTCAGGGAAGATGGCAGCGTAGGAATACATTATCATCTGCCTTAGAGAAACCTTTACTGTAATTAAACAGTAGAGTGGGATTGGTGCCACACACCTGTAATCTCAGTACTCCAGAGTCTGTTATAGGAAGAGTGAGCATTGGAGGTTAGCCTGAGCTACACAGTGAAATCTAGTCTCAAAACAAACAAACAAAAAGCTCAAAACATTAATAATAACAATTTGAATATAGGTGCCTCAAAGTGAAAATTTTGAGTTAGGAAACTATACTTTCATTGTTGGTATAATTATAATATCAGTGGTGTGCAAGGATGCGGTTACTTGTGAGCCTAAAACCCTTTTGTATATACAAGATTATTAATAAAATAGTTACAGTCTTAAAATATATTTTTCATAGATGAAAAAAAAACATTTTACAGAAGTCTTTTTAAACTACAAATACTTTATATTTCTAGCCCTGATATCAGGAGCTATGGCAGTGGACAGTAGAAGTATAGAAGTTTTGTGTGAAGTGGTGATGGTCATCATAGGATCAGGCAGGCCTTGAACTTGACCTGCTGGGATTGCAGGTATGCCCCACCATACCTGGCATGATTTTTGTCTTTACATTTTCTTTTTACCATATTTTCCCAGTTACTACTATTTCTTTTTTAAAAAGTATTATTTTAAGTGTATGAGGGTATTGCCTGCAAATTCACCCTTGTACAATGCCTGCAGAGGTCAGAAGGGGGCATCAGATCCCCTAGAACTGGCGATATGGACTGTTAATTGTCATCGGAATCAGACCGGTGTCCTCTGCAAGAGCAGCCAGTGCTCTTAACTGCTGAACCATCTGTTGCCCTACTGATTCTTTGTAAAAAAAAAAAAAAAATACTTGTATTTTACGTGTATGAGTGTATTGCCTGCATGTGTGTCAGTACACTCATGTGCAGTGCTCATGAAAGTCAGAAGGTGTTAGATCCCTTGAAAATGGAGTTACAGACTGTTGTTAGCTGCCATATGGGTGCTAGAAATTGGACCTGGGTCCTCTGCAATAGCAGTCAGTACATCTCTCCAGTGGGGCCCCCCACCCCTTAAAATATATATTTTTTATTTATGTGGATGTTCTGGTGAGGGTTTTTTGTTTGTTTGTTTTTGTCTTTTTGAGACAGGGCCTCCCTATAGCCCAGCTGACCTGGAACTTACTATGTAGACCAGGCTGACACCTCCATCTGACTACAGCCTCTGCCTCTGCTGGGATTAAAGGCATGCACCACCATGCTTGGCCTAGTGTAATTTTTTTCTTTGAGACAGGGTTTCTGTTTAGCCCCATGTGGCCTGGAACTCAGTGTGTAGACCAGGCTGGCTGTGATCTCACAGAGATCACCTGCCTGTGCCTCTGGAGTGCTGGAGTTAAAGGCAAGCTTCCTGCCTGGCCATCACTGTTTCTTTTTATAGGCACTCCATTGCCTTTCTTCTGTTCTCATATCTTTTTCTCACATAACTGTTCAAGAGAACCTTAATAAAAACCCATAACGTTGAATTTTTAAGTTAGACATAGTAAGAGATTAATAACAGCAAAATAGAACATTTATACAATAATGGTTACATAAATATGACCTCTCTTTGAAAATAGCCTCTGTGCTATAGTACAACCACCAAATAGTTGCTCCCACGATTGACAGATGGTTATAGCTTGGCACTACATCCCATTGCTTGAGACATGAAGAGGGAAAAGATTACACTTGATTTTGGGAATCAGTGCTTAACTCACTGGTGATTTTGGTTTCAGTGAAAATTTTTTTCCCTCATAATGAAATGTCATCTGTTGAGGAATACCATTAGGTATATAATTTCTTAACTTTTGTCAAACTTCGTAAGACTGACCTCAGTAAAACTAGGAGTATAAGACCGTTTGCATTAACTTATTTTTAATATTAAAAATACATAGATGCATTTTTAGATTTTAAAATGCTTTTTTGATAATATTCCTTAAATGTTTCAATAATGTTAATATTAATTTGGCTGACTTAATCTTTTATAGCCTGCACTTAATTTAAGGGACCTTGGATTATCAGAATTAAAAATTGGACAGATTGATCAACTGGTAGAAAATTTACTTCCTGGATTTTATAAAGGCAGACGAGTGTCTTCCCATTGGCATACATCGCATGTCTCTGCACAGTCCTTCTTTGAAAACAAATATGGTATGTTAGTGATGAGTCCAACTAAAATAAGCCATTTGAGTACTTATAATGATTATAATAGATGGAATGCCTTAGCATTTACTGTGGGCCAGTTCTTGTTTTATTAATTTACAACTTTTCTTACTGGTATGCTGTTAGATTTTTACTGTTTCTCTGTACTCTTCGCCTTGCTTTCCATACGTTGACATCTTTGTATAACTATGCTACATTCATGAAAAAGAAGAAATTGACCTTGGTGTACAGTATTTTAAATTAAACATAGACAATTTGGGTTTCACTAAAATTTGGTATAACCAAATCACTAATTTTTCCATGTGTTCTTTTTCTACCAGGACTGAATGCAGTATATTACATTATATTTAGAAAAATATTTTGTTTAAAATTGTTTTAATTTTAAGTGATAGGTGTTTGATTTCAGGCAACAGTCTAATTTCAAAAAATATGCTGATGAAATAGGTTTTTTTTTTATGGAATGACTACATACTATTTGAAGCTTTTAACCATCTGGAGTTATAATTAATGGGCTTGTACTGTATAGTATGTTGAAGAATGTCAGCGTTATGGAGTCTTTTGTTAAAGTACCAGGGATCAGTTCAGGTCTTGCTTCATGCTAGGCAAACTTTCTACCACTGAGCTGTGTCTCCAGTCTGAATTTCTTTTCTATAGTACCTGGTAGGATTGAAATACTGGGAAGTTCTTATTTCTTTTATTGTTTTTTATTTTAATACAGGGTCTTGCCAGGTTATCCAGGATGGCAGTGAACTCATTCTCTAGCTCAGGCAGGTGTGTAATTTGTGATTTTTTTTTTTTTTTTTTTTGCCTCAGCCTCCTTGAATAGCTGCCAGTACAGGCCTTTGCCACCAGTGATTCTTTTTGACTGTCATTTAAATAAGGAATATTAGAGCCATAAAATATCAAAGTGCAGCTGGGCGTGGTGACGCACGCCTTTAATGCCAGCACTTGGGAGGCAGGCAGATCTCTGTGAGTTCAAGGCCAGCCTGGTCTACATAGTTCCAGGTCAGCTGGGGCTACAGGGAGAGACCCTGTCTCAAAAAGACCAAAAAAAATAAATAAATAAATAAATAAATCAAAATACTTGTTTCATACTAATGGAAGAACAGATTTTAAAAGTCAGTGTAAGTTATAAGAGTCCAAGAATAGATGTAAAGAATGCAAGGGTGAGAATGGTTTTGGTTTGTGGGTATAGACTACTTCTGTTATCTTTGTGCTTTATAAAGAGCTTGGCCCATAGTAAATCTTCAGTAGGATGCATTTTTACTCTTTTATTACTGTTCTTCTAATCTGCATTTCTATGTTTATTTTTAAGGTTCTTTATATTTTTAGGTACTTACTCCACTTCAGCCGACAGAGATAATAGGAATGTGTTCCTTAGTTTGGACTCTTTAAGAATTTTTTGAAAAAAAATTCCCTTAATTCTAATTGGGGCATACAAACATAATTACCACTATTTGTTTCTGTTGATCAAGAATAGGAGCTTGGGGGCTGGGACTATAGTTCAGTAATAGTGTGTGATGCCTGACACTGCAAAAAAAAAAAAATAAATACATAAACAAAAAGTAAGAATCAGTGAAATATTTACAGCTTATAGCTCTTGAAGAATTTTAGTCAGTATGGAAGCTTAAGTAATCAGGAGCTGTGTTTGTGACATTAAAGCTGTGAAAATGTCTACGTAGTAGCAGTTCTTTACCACTTTATCCTCTTAACCAAAGGAAGTTCTGTTAAAACCTCTGCTAATTTCAAATTAGTGTCATGGGCAACTACTTTCATATACCACAGAAAAATAGTAACCATAAGTGATAGTAAAATGAAATGTGAGGTATAATTAGATTAATAATGCAATTAATGTCTTTGTAAAAGTAAAGGTATACTATGGACAAATAAAAGGCAAAGTTCATAATATTGTGATTCCCCCCCCCCCAGTATTTATGAACTTATAATTTTTTTGTGTTTCTGGTTTGACAATTACGAAATACCCTTTTTGCAATGTCCTTCCAGGTTACTTAGATATGTTCAGTACTTTACGTTCTTCTAGCTTGTACAGACAACATCCAAGAACTCTTGAAAGCATTTGTTCAGATCTTCGGTATTGGCCAGGTATGAAACACCAACTGTATTTATTTTGAAAAATAATAGATTTTTAAAATAAGACTAGTTTTTCTTAGTGGTGTTAATAGTTATAAATACCTGTTTGTAGTGCACAGTGGGACTTAGAGCATTTGGAATTAATTAGTTTGGTTCTGCCTTTTTTTTTAGACGGGTTTTAGTGTGTTACTCAGACTGGTCTGAAGTTGTAATCTTCCTCCCTCCTCAGCCAACCTCTTGATTGTTGGAGGGTGTAGGTATGTGCTACCATACCTAACTTTCTGCATAAATTTTGGTCTACAAAATATATAATAGGAATTCCAGCACTTGGGAGGCAGAGGCAGGCAGATCTCTGAGATTGGGGACAACCTGGTCAGTAAACATAGTTGAGTTCTAAGCGGGCTGTGGCTATAGGGAGACCCTGTCTCAAAAAGACCAGTGTGTATGTGTATGAGCTAAAGTTTGTGTTTGCTAAGTACCAAGGTAAATCAGACTCGGGGAACTCATCTACATGTGTTTCAGAATAATTGCCTAAGCACATTCATTTACTTAACCTCAAATTCAGAAGTCCATTAAAATAATAGAAAAAATACTAAAGTGAGAAAAAATGGGAACATCAGAGTTTTAATTAATATCCTACAAATTTTAGGACTTATTTATTTATTTTTTAATTTACTTTTTTATTTATTATTTTTATTTATTTTATTTTATGTGTATGTATGTATTGCCTGCATATAGGTAAGTATACCTGTGTTGTGCAATGCCTGCGGAGGTCAGAGAGGCTGTCAGATCCCTGGGACTGGAGTTGCGGACAGTTATGTGGGTGCTGGGGTTCAAACCCGGGTCTTCTGTAAGAACAACCAGTGTTCTTAGCCACTGAGCCATCTCTCCAGCCCCAGGACTTTTTATTTTATTTACTTATTATTTACTTATTTTTGGTCTTTTTTTCAGACAGTGTCTCCCAGTAGCTCCAGCTGGCCTGGAACTCACTATGTAAACCAGGCTGGCCTTGAACTCACAGAGATCCACCTGGCTCCCCAGTGCTGGGATTAAAGATGTGCGCCACCACACAGGACTGTTTTTTTCCCCTTTTTGGCTCTTTTTGAGACAGGGTCTCGCTGTAGCCCCAGCTAGCTTGGAACTCACTATATAAACGAGGCTGGCCTTGAATTCACTGAGATCTGCCTGCCCGTGCTTCCTGAGTGCTGGGATTAAAGGTGTGCACCACCACAACCAGCAAATTTTAGAACTTTTAGTAAGCTATAAAGTAGGTGTTATCATGTTGATAGCATTGGAGTATCATAAAAGAGGTGAATGCTTCTATTTTAGTAGAACTTAGAAAAAAATGGCATACTCAGGCAGTAAGAACAGGCTTTGGGATTTTTGATACAATAAATAGTTGGAAGATTGCCAAAAATGGGCAATTACAGAACAGTGTAGCTGTTAACTATTAGGCTCTGGTTAGAAAAAATACCATTCTTATAGCTGGCCATGGTAGCGCTAATCCCAGCACTTCGGAGGCAGAGGCAGGTGAATCTCTTTGAATTCAAGGCCAGCCTGGTCTACATAGTAAGTTCCTCACCAGCTAGGGTTACAGGGAGATCCTGTCTCAAAAAAACCAAAAAAAAAAAAAAAAAAAAAGGAAAAATATACCATTCTTATAAGGAATATGTTTGTGTATATTTAGGGGAGTTTACTGCTGGAGACTGTTGACTTGAGCATTGATACCAGAGGTTAAAAACATGGTTGCTCTGGTTTTCAGTCATACATATACTTCTCATTTACACAGTTCATGATTTGTAGTCTCAGTACATTTAATGTTACGTTAGTATTGAGGAAATATATTTGCTGTTATTTACAAATAATTTACAAATAATACTGGGAACCTGCCAAGTATCTGTAATCTCAGTACTTGGAAGCAGGGCAGGACCATCCTGGGCTATAATAGTAAGACTGTGTCTTCAAAAGGAGGACCAGAAATGAAAAGAAATGGATTGTTGGGAATCTCTTCATCTGGGGAGAAAACATTTAGCATGTAAAAAAAGCAAGTGCCGGGCTCCCAGCACTTGGGAGGCAGAGCCAGGCAGATCTCTGTGAGTTCAAGGCCAGCCTACATAGTGAGTTCCAGGACAGCTGTGGCTACAGGGAGACCCTGTCTCAAAAAGACCAAAAAATAAGGTACCAAATTCAGCAGAGAGACCAAAATGGTTAGTAAAAGACAGAAGAGTAATATATTAAAATATTGTTAGTGTAAAAGACAGATAACATATTTTCAGAGTTTATGGAAAATAAAAAAAACCTGAGCCCAAGGAATAGAGAGATGGCTCAGCAGTTAAGAACACTGCTCTGCAAAAGACCTGGGTTCAAATCGCAGCACCCACATGGCAGTTAACAAGGAGATCTGACACCTTCTGTTCTCTGCAGGCAATTCAGAACATGGGTGTACTTACACACATGCATGTATAACACTAATACACATTATGAAATAATAAAAATTTTAAAACTGAACCTGTATTAGAATATGAAAGATACGTTAAGTTTTTGTAATGTCGTAATTCCTATGTCAGGTTGATTATCATACCATAAAATTAAAACATAGTTGGACAGCTAAATGGATATCCGAATACTGGGAATTAAAAAAATTGTTTTCTAAATACTGTATTGTATGACTAGAGTGCAATCAACACTGAAATTAGACATTCAGTAGAGCCATAGTGAAACAAATCTCCATCTGAACATCCTTTGAGTACACAGTGATGTTAAAAACAGTTCGTAATTTGCTAGTAAGTGAAAAAATAGAAAATAAATTGAATGTTTTTTTAAAAGGATACAAGAAATTAAAATTGCAAAATGACATACTAAAAAGTAACTGGGGCTAGAGAGATGGCTCAATGGTTAAGAGACTGGCTGCTCTTGCAGAGGACCCGGGTTTGGTTCTCAGCACCCAGTGGCAGCTAGCAACTGTCTGTAATTTCAAGTCCAGGGAATATAATGCCCTCTTCGATCTCTACGAGCACTGCATGACATGGGTGTACTTACATGCATTCTGGCAATATACTTAATATGCACATGAAATAATAAAAATCATAAAATATTTTAAAAGTAACAGCAAGAGTTAGCGGACCAGGGGCTGGAGAGATGGCTCAGCGGTTAGTAACACTTGCTGTTCTTCCAGAGGACCCAGGTTTGATTCTTAGCACTCACACGGTGGTTAACAACTATCTGTAACTCCAGTTCCAGGGATCTGGCATCCTTTTCCTGCTTCTGCAGGGCATTGCATACATATGGTGCATTAGCATACATGTAGGCAAAACACTCATACACATTAAATAAAAATAATAGATAAAATATTTTTAGAAGAAGAGTTAGGAGAGCCATGAGGGGTGCCAGCAAGAAGTAGCTTAATTTATTAGAAACAAATTTAACTTGGAAACAAAAATATAACAAAATATGGATCATATTAGAAAGGAAAGCGAGAACTAATCATACATATGGTGATTTTTTTTTTTTTTCCTTTTTTGAGACAGGGTCTCCCTGTAGCTCTAGCTGTCCTGGAACTCACTATGTAGACCAGGCTGGTCTCGAACTCACAGAGATCTGCCTGCCCTGCCGCCCAAGTGCTGGGATTAAAGGCCTGTGCTACCACGCCCGGCCCTGCAAGGTGAATTTTAAAGATCAAAAGATAGCATATATTGTTTTATTATAAGAAAGAATGTTAGACTGGGCATGGTGGCTCACGCCTTTAATCCCAGCACTCGGGAGGCAGAGGCAGGTGGATCTCTGAGTTCAAGGCCAGCCTGGTCTACATGGTGAGTTCCAGGACAGCTGGGGCTACAGGGAGACCCTGTCTCAAAAAGACCGGGGGAGAAAAAAAAAAGAAACAATGTTACAAAATTATTTTTGAAGCTGTATGTTTACAAAATTGACCCAAGGAAAAAAATAGGATAATAACCATAAATTTGAAGGACAGCATTTTAAAGATGTAATCAATACATGAGGCTCAGATAGATTTATTACTGTGTTCTTTTTGTTGGGGGAGGAGGTATGCTTAAGGATTAAATTCACATACTCATGAATGCTTGGTAGACATTCTGTCACTGAGTGTGCCATGGGTCCTATGGCTCTGTTTCTATTAGTTAAAAGTTGATTGAAAAGAACATGATGTTTAGTGTTTAGTGTCTTTTTTTTTTTTTTTTAAAGTAAAGGTTCCAAACAGTATAATTAAAAGAAAAGATGGGGCTGGAGAGAGGACTCGGGTATTAAGAGCCCTGGCTGCTCTTGGCAAAGGACCCTGATTCAGTACCCAGCACCCAAATGGCAGCTAACAACCATTTGTAATTCAAGTTCTAGGGGATGCTACTCCCTCTTCTGGCCTTCATGGGCAATGTACGTAATTGGTGCACTTAACATACAGGTAAAACACTCATACACAAAACATAAAAATAATTTAATAAAGAAAGAAATGAGGTATATCTGAAGGGCAAAGTTGTATTTTGGGGTGATAGGATTATTTACCAGGGAATTAACAAAAAGCCTGTTCAGATGTTGAATTCACTTTGGAACTTACTATGTAAGAGAAATGCATAAAACCAATACAATAGTTTTAGTTTTTTTTGTTGTTTTATTTTTGGTTTTTGGAGACAGGGTCTTCCTGTAGCCTCAAGCTGTCCTGGAACTCACTAGGTAGATTAGTCTGGTCTGGATCTCAGAGAGCCCACAGGCCTGGCTCAATAGTTTTATTAAAATATTTTAGTGCTAGATTCTATTTGTAGTTTCTTCAAAATCTGTTAGGTGTTTTGTACGAGAAATATATGACGTACACACATGTGCCATATGTATGAAGTTTAATGAAGGTCATGAAGAGAGAAAAATGAGAATATCATAATTCACTTTGGAAGGAGTTCATTATAACAGTATTCATTTATGCCCACATTTACAGATTCAGCATACACCTAATCAGAACTGTTAAAGACTGTAGAAATTGAGAGTTAGTTTTAATTTTGAGTAAGGACATGCTGGAAATAAATACTAATGATTTCACCTTGCCTATATGTATCCAAAATGTGTGTTTTCAAAATTGATTTATTATGTGTATGAGTGTTCTGCCTACATGTATGTAAATGTACCACTTGTGTTCAATGTCTGTGGAGGCCAGAAGAGGGTGTGGAATCCTCTGGAACTGGAGTTAGGGGTACTGGGAACTGAACCTGGTCCCTTGCAAGAGCAACTAGAGCTCTACCCCTGAGCCATCTCCAGCCCAAAATGTGTATTTTTGGTCAGTTGTGGAGCATCACAAAGAACTAAAAAATTTTAAATGTAAGTCCTTAGTTGTTTGTATTTGGGAAAATTAAACATATAAATGGCAGTTAAAGTGAATGTTCTGTTTTATTCTAAAATATATCCATGATACATAGTTATGTAACAGTGTAAAGTTGTGTATTAAAATTTACTGTTTGATGTAGTGTCTTACTTTATGTAGTCTGGGGTGGCCTTGAGCTCAGGGTCTTCCTCCCTCAGCTTCCTGAGTGCTGGGATTATATAGGTATGTGCCACCATACCTAACTTGGAATGCTTTTTATAGAAGGAGTATGTGTGTAGCCAGGTATCGTAGCACATACCTGTAGTTCTGGCAGGTGGAGGATTGTGAGTTCCAGGCCAGTTTGAGTGCATAGGATGTTCTTTTCAAAAAACTTCAAAAAATATGTAAAAGGAAAAAAAATGTGTATATATGCATGTAAGAGTAGTTAATGGAATTGTTAACAGTGATAACATTGGAAGAATTAGAAGGCACTGACTTGATAGTTTTTCTTACTTTAAACATTTTGTAATTATTAAGAAAATGAAGTTGGACCTGGTGGAGCACACCTTTAATCCCAGCAGTTGGGAGGCAGAGGCAGGTGGATCTCTGAGCCTAGTCTACATGAGTTTCAGGCCAGCTGGACCTACAGGGAGATTGTCTCATAAAACCAAAAAAAAAAAAAAAGGAATAGCTTGGTTTTTATTCAGTCCATTTCGGTAACTGAGCTTTTGTTTTTCAAGTGTCACAATTTATGATACTGTGTTATTTTCTGTATTATATTGTAAAATCCTGAGTTTTCACACTTCTTATTAACATAAAATATTCAATGTTCTTATACAAAGGATGATTGTAAAAAGGCAAAGCACATTGAAATGTCAGATAAAATAGCTTGTCTCTAAAACTTAGATCTAAGGAGGATTGCAGGTATACAGATAGGATGTCAGGCTTTATACTCATTTTTTCCTTGCCAAAACTGCCAAGTAAATGGTCCTGTTTTGTTCAGGTTTCATACAGACTCGAGGTTTTAAGACTTTGAAGTCAAGAGCACGACGCCTGCAGTCTACCTCAGAAAGATTAGCAGAAGCACAGAATATAGCACCATCATTTATGAAGGTAATCAGATTTCGTCTTGTAGTTCATATGCATTATACTATCCCTTCAATTAGGTTTTAAAGTTGGAGTGTGAAATATTAGACTTCCAAATTGCTTTTCATACACCCTTAGGGTTAGCCCTGTGCACATCTTGATTTCCCCTCATATTCCCCACCCCATCCAACTTAAAACTTCATACCCCCACTATTCCACCTGTTTTTGATTTATCCATTTTTTCTTTTTTTATTAGAAGAAGCATTTCATTACAACAGCGTTAACCTATTCAATAACAATTTTTCTGAGCTAGGGTACATCTCTTTCAAAATTGGCTGTACATTTTTAGGTTTACAGATGAATTATTACGCTTATATAATCCTTAACTCATTATAAACTCTATAAGACATAAAATTAAATGAGGTTCCAACGTTTAAAAAAGATCTCCACTT